AACAGATTAAAAACACTCTTCAGTGTCTTTTTTGTGTACCTTCCTACGTAGCCCAGGCTGGCCTCAATCTCGAAGCATCTTGACTCTCAGTCTCTTGTGTGCTGGAACTACAGGTGTGCGCCACCATCCCCAGCATTTTTTTTTGGTTGAGACAGGATCTTGCTATGTAGTTCACGCTGGCCTTGAATTTGTGGCAGTCTCCCTGCCTCAACCTCCCAAGTGGTGGGATCACAGAAATGTGCTACCATACTCGTCTTCTGTAGGGTCTCGAATGCCAGTTTGAGATTCTCTACTGTAGAAACAAGGAATCCTGGAATATTTCTGAGCTTAACACGGTGTGTGTTTCCTCAGAATGATTAATCTATCTATATATAAAGCAGAGGTTCTTCAAGTGTGGTCCCTGGACCAACAGCATTAACATCATCTGGGAACTTGTTAGAAATGAAAATTTTTGCTGGGCTTGGCTCACATGCCTGCAATCCCAGCACTTGGACTGAGGCAGGAGGATCACAAATTCAAGGTCAGTGTGAACTATATAGATATATAGTGAGACCCTGTCTCAAACAAAAAAAGCAATGCAAATTCTCAGATCTATTCCACATCTACCGAATCAGAACCTTGGAAAGCACAACAATCCGTTTCCCAACTTTTAGCTGATTATGTTGCCTAATACAATTTGATTTCTTTTGGTTTTAGAGACAGTGTCTCGCTATGTAGTTAAGGCCTTGAACTCACCTTGACCCTCCTGCCAGAGGCTCCCAAGTGCTGGGACTACAGATGTGTGCCATCAGGCCCAGCAAAATGGGGTTTCTCCTATGAAGACTACTATTTTTTTTTTTGGTACTGGGGATCGAACTCAGAAGCTTGTGCTTGTGAGGCAGGTGCAGGGCCACTGAGCTAAATCCCCAGCCATTTTTTTTTTTTTTAAAAAAAAGACCATTATTTTTCTGTGGGTAGGCCATCCTCTCCCACCTCCTAAACTAAGAACAAGACTATAGATTGACAAAATCCAGATTTCCACTGCCAAAAACACATAAATATTCACAGCTCCAAATTGTTGTGCACCTCTCTTAGGCCTGCACTCTAATAAATCCTTCCCATGCCTTAAAAAAAAAAAAAAAATGGGTGGTGGACTGGGTACATAACTCAGTCGAGAGGCCCTGGGTTCAATCCCAGGCACCCAGAGGTGGGGGCAAGGGGATGATTCCTCTTAATCTTGAATGCCCCAAGCATCTCTGATGACTGATGATCAGCTGAATGTTTTTGGTACCAGGGATCAAACTCGGGACCCTGCGCTTGCGAGGCACCCGCTGGAACCACTGAGCTCAATCCCCGGCCCCTAGCTGAATGTGAGAGTTCATGATCATGATGAAGCTTCTGATTCTAAACTCCTAGGTATTTGCCACAGCTTTGTATAACATCCATAGAATAGATTTATGCCACTGTGAAGTTAGTAAAACCTTTCTTAAAAAATTTATGTCAGGGCTGGGGATTTAGCTCAGTGGTTCCGCCACCTGCCTTGCAAGCGCAAGGTCCGGAAAAACGAGGGATTGAACTTGGGACCTTGCACTTGCAAGGCGGGCAGCAGAATCACTGAGCTAAATCCCCAGCCCAAAAAGTCAAATTTCTATTGTTGAACTGAATCATAATCTAATAAGATTTTTATTCACATTCTGTAAATATCTTAACTTTGAATTTTGAAGGTATTATACAACATTACTTTTGAATGTTATTTTGATTTTGTGTTTTGAGACAGGGTCTCATTATGTAGTTCAAGCTGGTCTACAACTCACTATGTATCCCAGGCTGGCCTGGAACTCATTGGTGATCTCCTGCATCAGCCTCTGGGATAACATGAATATGCCGCCACATCCAGCTTGAATGTTATTTTGAATAAGAAACATTTTGTCCAACAGGCAGGCTGATTCTGCTGAATTCTGTATTAATATCATCTAGCTGGATATGGTGATTGATACATATTCTAGCACTATGATAGGCTGAGACAGGAATGACCTAAGACAGAAGAATTGGAAGTAGGAAGGAAACAGGAGACTCAAAACTAAAAAATTACACTTTTAAAAAGATTGCAACTTTCAGGTGCAAAGGTGATCAGCATTCCCAGCAGTTAATTAAGCAGCATTCCTTCTAGACCCATCACATCCAAAATTCCTCAGGAGTAGTGAAAGTCTATAAATTGCCTTAACTGAGAAAGTAAAGAACAGGAATTGATCCTAAGATAAAGGAATGGGTTCACAGGTTGAGAGAATCCAAATATTTAAAATGCCTATCTAAAAACAAAAAACTAGGTCCATACTTGTAGAACAGGCTAGTACCCTTCTAGGGGGTGAGCCACCTTTTCCCTGGGTTTCCACCTCAAGAAAAGCATGAATGTTCCCTGTTTCAAAAAATAAAACATCAGAGCTGGGGATTTACCTCAATGGCATCTCTCACCTGCCTCACAAGTGCAAGGTCCTGAGTTCAATGCCCGGTACCAAAAGCAAAATAAAACAAAACAAAAAAACACCATTACCCTCAAAAAATAAGACATCTTTCTCTCTTGAGGGCCTGCACACTGTATTTCTTTGAGTGTGTACTTTCCCATGTCTCTTATTTGACTAGTCCCAAAAATTCTTTTTCTCTGATGGCAGTCAGCAAATCTATTCTCTGGATAAGGTGAATTAAGTTCCTTATATTAGTTTTAGGAACCTCCTCAGACTGTCTAATGACAGGAGGATCACCAAGTTTGAGTCTAGCCTGGCAACTTAGTGACTTAACAAGATCGTGTCTCAACAGTAACAACAAAACAACCAAAAAATTTATTCACCTTCATCTTTCCATTGTCACTTCTGGAAGTTAATCATGATGCTCCATGTGGAGGCACACCTTCCTTGTTTCAATTATTTTTTTCTGCACGCTAGTGGTAATTATAATTAATTTATATACACTGATATGTGGAACCTAATAGTGCCTATGTTAACTTAAGCTCAGTAAGATGACATGCTGTCCCCTCTATTAGAGGTAAGCTATTTATCTATGTGTAAGGAATGTATGTACTCACTATACCCAACTTCCATATGTGAAAACCATACAATGACACCTTCAGATTTTTGTTTTCCCCCTCTGTATTGGGGATTGAACCTAGGGGTTTGCTAGGCAAGCACTCTATCACTAAGCCACATTCTCTACCCTTTTTGTTTCATTTTTGGTTTTATTTTGGTATCGGGAATCAAACTTGGGACCCTGTGTTTTTGGTTTTATTTTGGTATCGGGAATCAAACTTGGGACCCTGTGCTTGCGAGACAGGGGGCGGAACCACTGAGCTAAATCCCGGGCTCCCTCCACCCTTTTTATTCTGAGATAGGGTCTAAGTTGTCGCAGCTGGCAACTTGGAACCTTCTGACACAGCCTCAGCCTCCAGAGTAGCTATGATTAGAGGCACATGCCACCATGCCAGGCTCAGGTGTCTTGTTTGGTGCCATGGATGGTACTCAGGGCCTCAACCCCTTCAGCCTTCTTCAGGTGTTTCCTAAGTACTCTATCTATGTAATTATACTCATCACACATAACTATATTACTAGTTGTTATCTGCCTCTTCAACTAGACAACGTGCTCCTTGAAAGCAGGTCTCATATTTATCTTTGTATTAACTAGCTACTGCAAAGGTCTGTGGGAATTCAAATGTGTTTTGCTGAATGAACTGGATTCAGAATACTTTGTGAAGGCTGACATGTTCCACATTATTTGGTTAACTATAGTCGTAACATAGCTATTCAATTCACTATCAGAGAAAAACCCAACACCATCATAATCTCTCTTGCCAGGCAAACTACAAAAAAATTTTACATTCTGAATTTCTTTTTGGCCTAGGGAAAAAAATGTCACTAACAGGCTTTAATTCGTGCTCTGACGACCGTGAAAAATCTACACTGAAGAGACAGCAAAGTAACATTCAAGATTCACATCACCTGGTTACATCTGGAAGCCACTGTGCAGTTAGGCTGGGCCACTCTAGAGCATGGGTCATCACCAAATCGTAAAGAAAAGGCGTGTTCTTTTTCCATATTTTGTACTCCTCGTTGATCACACGTTCTTCCACTGCGTCGTCAAAAGCTGCTAAAATTTTTAAAACCAAATCAAGTTAGCTTACAGAAACGGAACTGAGTAAATTTCTCCTAAGCCACCCGTACAGCTTCTTCGTTCTAACTCTGAAAGGAGAGAATTTATCTCATCTCCCCAGGCGCAGCACCGCCACCGCTGCCCATCTTCGCGGGCCAGAAGTCCGCTACCCGTGGAGACTATGGGGCTGGGCCTTCGACGCGCGCTACCGCACGTAAAGTCCACAGGACCGGCGAGGGGCCGCGCACCAGACGTGGGGTGAGGGCGGCGCGGGCCGACCACAGGGAGCTCGGGGGGCTCACGGCCGCCGGGGCCCCGCCGCCGGCTTCACCCAGAGGCATTGCGCATCCGCTCCTGAGCCACTGGGGCGCCGTTGGCCCATCCTGCCAGGAGCTCCCTCCCCACGCCTGCGGTATTAGGGCTACGCTCGGCCGCGCCGGGCCTGCCTCCCTACTAGGCCGTGTGCAGGCCGAGACACAGTCCTGGCACCTCCCGCCCTCCTGGGACGCCCCCGGCACCCTCACCTTCCTTGTCAGCCATGGCGGCAGGAGAGCCAGGAGGACCCTGGGGCCGAACGACGTGGGAGGGGCCGGGAGGCTGCGGGCGCTCGCTCTGCGCGCGCGGCCTCTATTGTTTCCTGCGGTCCCTGCGTGAGGGCCGGCTCGCGCACCTTCGCGCCAACATTGGCCAACCGGAGCTCACCGAACGGCGGAATGGGCGGGGAAACTGCATTCTCGGCCAATCCTGATACGTAGGGCTGCTTCCCGCGGGACCTAGTCGCGCGCTCCTCCCCTCCCCTCCCACACCGCCCGTGGCCGAGTTCCACAGATTGCGGGCACACCCGGGCCGATGGGGCTGTGCCCGTACCGATCACGTGAGAGGCTCAGGCCTAACACTCCCGGGGGCAGCCATTTTCTTAAGGGCTATTACTACTGTATGCTAACGACTTTCTCGGAGTAAAGTATTGAAATGAAAAAATCTAAAATGCCTCTGAGTCTAGTTATTAATTCTGGGGACGAGGCGGAAAGAAAAAGCCTCCTCACTTAGACCCAGAGGGGTGTTATTCAAGGTGTTCTTCAACTTGTCTCCTTAATCCTTAGGAAGAAAACGAGTCATAAGCACAGAAGATGAGCCCTTAGCCTTTTTTTTTCTTAGCCTTTTAAACATACGATCCAAGCGGCACGATTTAAATGGAATTGTTGGGGGCTGAAAAGCTCTCTCGAGCTCCAAGAATCTAGTCATGGCCCTTTAAGGATGCGGGTTGGGGGGGGGGGTCCTAGGGCGGAAGTTGTATTGCTGGGCCGAAGGCCGGCAGATGAAGGGCGGAAATAGTATGTTCAGTTCGGAAATCATGGCGCAGGAAAAGGAAGATGTTAGAGATTACAATTTAACTGAAGACCAGAAAGCAATCAAGGCCAAGTATCCTCCAGTCATTCAGAAGTACGAATGTGAGTAGATACTTCTTTCTTCAGATAGGGGCATGCCCAGCTCCTTACTTGGCGCTTCCAACATGGCCGTCTACTTTGCCCCACAGGTGTGTTAGATGTGATCGGGTTGTGCTCTGTGTTCGTCCTGTATTATGGAGTCTTGTACTTGCCCCAGGATATGCTGAAGGAAAAAGCCACCTGGCTTGAGAGTCAGGAGAGTGGGCGCCTATATTTTCAGTCTCTTCAACTTTTTCTACATGTTCTTAATCCCAGTTTTTCTTTCTGAATTTAACTAGCGCAGTAATTTTTAAAATACCTGTATTTTATTTTTCTTCTTTTTTTCCCGGTACTTGGATTGAACCCAGAGCCTTCATACTGAACTACATCCCCAGTCACTGTTTCAGTTTTTATTTTGAGATAGTGTCTCACAAAGGCCCTAAGTTACCCAGGCTGGGCTCAAATTCGTGATCTTCCTTGCCTCAGCCTCCCGTAGGATAACGTGTGTGTCACTACGACTGAGAGTTTTACTTGAACTTTCGAGGTTGTCTCTTGTGTCTCTCAAGAGTGGGTTAGATTGTGACCAGGTTTGGGGAGTGGGAAAACTAAGAGGGTTTTTTTTTGTTGTTAGCACTGAAGAAATAAAAACAAGAAAGAAAATACGGTGCAGTATTTTCTTTTCCGTGTGTGTGTGTGTTTGTGTGTGTTTTGAGGACTGAGCCCAGGGCCTTTGCATTGAGCTGCATCCTAGATCTTTTTTACTTTTGAGACAAGGTCTTGTGGAGTTGCCCAGGCTGAGCCTGAATTTGTGATCCTCATAGTTCACCCTTCCAGAGTGAAGGGATTACAGTTGTGTGCCATTAGGTCCGGCTCACGTTAAAGAGCTGGAAGTGCAGCTCAGTGGTACTGCACACACACACAAAAAAAAAAGGAAAGAAGAGGGGAAAAAGCCAAACACTGCCACTTTTCTAAATTTTGGACAATATAGTTATTTTCATAAAATATAATTTACATTAGCTAGGGATGGTGACACACTCCTATTAGTCCCAGCACTCTGAGAAGCTGAGACACAAGGTTTGCAAGTTCAAGCCCAGCCTAGGCTAATTTAGCAAGACCCTGTCTCAAAACATTTTTTTAAGAAGGAAAAGAAAAAAAGGCTGGGATGTAGCTCATAAGAAGGCTCTGAGTTCAATCACACCAGTACCATAAGTAAATAAAATAATTTATGTTAAATAAAGTAGGTTTATTTTTTTCAAGTGAATTAAGTATTTTAACTTATAGTTACAATCTAATACATATAGTAAATATTGTCAGATAAAACCCACATAAAGCTCATTGAGGTCCTCAGTCTCTTTAAGAGAATAAAGGGTTCCTGAGATGTTAAAAACAAAAAAATGGGTTGTTTTTTTTGGACAGAGGCTTGTGTACTTTGGTCTTGCCTTAAACTCACTGTGAAGTTCAGACTAGTCTCGAACTTGGGGTGATCTTTCTGCCTCAACCCTGAGATGAAAAATTTGAGAACCTCTGTCCTATACCAATATGGTGTTGTTTTTTAAAACTCATTTGTTTTTTCAGTGCTAGAGATTCAGCCCAGGGCCTTGTGCATAGTAGGCACTGAGCTACACTCCCAAATCTTTTAAAAATTTTCAGACAATCTCCCCAAGTTGCCCAAGCTAGCCTTTAACTTGTGACCCTCGGCCTCAGCCTTCCAAGTACCTGGGATTACAGAAATGCACCACCATACCAGGATTAAACTGATTTTTAAAAAATTGAAGTTTAAGCCATGCCTGGTGGCACAGGCCTGTAATTTCAGCACTCTAGGAGGCTGAGGCAGGAGGATTGGAAGTTTGAGCCCAGCCTGGGCAGCTTAGTATATGTGCTGCTGAAGCAAGCACAGTCTGGGCAATTTAGCAAGATCCTTAAGATAAAAAAATGAAAAAAGGGCTGGGGATGTAGCTCAGTGCAAAGGCCCTGGGTTCAATCCCCAGTATAAAAAAAAGATTGAAGTGTAATTTACATATCATATGTGGGTAAAGTGCTCAGCTCTTAAATTGTTAGCATCCAGTGGGTTTTGCTAAACAGATACACTCTAATCAAGGTATAGGACACTTCTTTCACCCTAGAATGTCTCCTCTTGACCCTTTCCAATTAGCCCCTGGAAACTGGAAAGGGACAAGAGGAAGCTTAGTTAAAAAACTATAATTATTTTTCCATTTTAGAGTATCATATAAATGCAGTCACACATGTGGGTTCCTTTATTTGTCTTCACCTATGTTGGAGATAATATAGCTGGGCACCAGAGCAGTTCAGATTTTTTTTTTTTTCAGTAACTACTGGCAATAGGAGAAAGAGCTAAGCTACATTGTAGTTTGTACGGAGATGATTGGGTATTTTTATAGAGAGAGAATGAGGGAGAGGAGGATGAGGGCTCAGAAGAGTCAGAGAAGTGACAAAGTCTGAAAGGTGGTCAGTGTAAATGCAGTGAGGACAGTTATGTCTGCCAGCTCCAGTTATGGAAGACTGGGAGACAGAGGCTTGTTGCTTCCAGATGATTCCATTTCAAAGGAATGTTTCTCAAATCCTTGAGAAAGATACTTCAGAGTTGTGAGAGATATGCACTGTATTCAAAATTATAAGCCCTTTTTAGAACTTGCTTATCTTAAGTAAGGGAAGTCAGATGTTGAACATCTACAACTGAATTCTCCTGCCCCTGCTGACTCCTCACCCACCCACATTCCTGGACCATCCTAGGGATGCAACCTTGTGCTGTTAGAAACTATGTTAGTTTGGTTAAGAGATGGGATTTGGATGAAGTTTCACGCTAAGAGTTCTGCAGTTCTCACTCAGCATAATGTTTTGAGATTCATGTTAATGCACAGACAGAAGTTCATGCTTTTTTATTGCTAAGGAGTCTTGCACTGTATGATTATACTTATCTCTTGTTGACGTCCATTGGGTTTATACTTCTTCTAAATAAAATAGTTGTGAACATTCTTACGTGTGTATTTGTGGTCACATGCTTTTATTTCTTCAGAGTTAATACCTGTCATTTTTTTTTGGTACCGGGGATCGAACTTGGGTCCTTATGCTTGCAAGGCAGGTGGTGGAACCACTGAGCTAAATCCCCAGCCCTACCTGTAATTTTCTTTATCATCTTTGAGGGTCATTGAGCCCCTTGAAACTTACTGAATCCTGAAACTTACGAAGTCTTCAGTAATATCTTTTTTTTTTTTTTGGGTACCGGGGATTGAACTCGGGTTCTTGTGCTTGTGCAGCAGGAGGCAAAACCACTGAGCTAAATCCGCGGCCCCTTCAGTAATATTTCTGAGTGATGAATTTGCACTTTGAGTGCCACCAGAAGACGATGTCCTATGGTGCAAAGTGTGCTAACACAGGAGCCAAGAAAACCTCCATTCCAGTTCCCAGCTCTACCTATATACCACAGTGTAGTCCTGAAAAAGCCACAATCTCTGGATTTCAAGATCCTTTTTATATACTAAGAACTATGTTAAATCTCCAAGAATTCCTTCTCACTGTATTGTCCTGTGATGCTAAATGGAAAGAATTGGTGATAATTGTGGTACAAGTGAAGGACAGACTCTGAAAATGGTGTTGTGTGCTTGTGAGATTAAGAAAATGCTTAATATTTATTGTGGAATTTATTTTCTAAAAGTATTTCGTGTGCCTGTAATCTCAGCACTCTAGGAGGCCAGGAGTTCAAGCCCAGCCTTGGTAGCTCTGTGACTTATGGAGACCCTATCTCACAATCAAAAATTAACAAAGGACCCTGCGAGGCTGAAGGGTCCAAGGAGGGAGAACCGGGGTGGGGGTGGGGGTGGGGATGATGAAAAAGGACAGAACAAAGAGATACAATGCTGAGGCCAGGTGGAGCTTTCCTCCTGATGAGAGAAAAAGATGGCTAGGCAACTGCAGCACGTTAATTTATAGTGTAGAGATAAGGGAAGTGCAGGGGGAGGAAAATGGGGGTGCCCTTGACTGGAACAGGGAGAGTGGCTAGGTCTGCAGGACATCATGCTTGATGGTTTGCTGGCAAATGGGCAGGGAAGAAGACATGTCCTCTTCTCAGTACTCCTCTTGGCCATTCCTTGCTCCACCACGCCCTCTTGTCGCCTGTTCTCCCATGGGGCCCTGCCTCCTCTGCTGGAGGAAGAGAACAAGATGCCGGTTCCTCCTTAGGGCCCTGCCTCATCCGAGGGAGGAGACAAGTTAGGTCTGGCCATAGTGATTTGCAGTGCAGCGCTCCCAGCAATGTATCCTTGTATGAAGCCCCTGGTTCAATCCCTAGTACGTTTTAAAAAAAAAAGATAGGATCCTCTTTGTTGTCCAGACTGGCCTGAATTCCTGGGCTCCAGTGATCTCAGAGCAGCCTCCTAGTAGTTGGGAGTACAGGTGTGTGCTACCACACTCAGCTTAGACACTTTTTACAACACCTGAAAGGCCCAGGCCTTGCTGCCTTCCAGAAATTGTCATTCATTTAAATGTAAACCTTGGCTTTAAGGAAAATTAATGATTAGCCAGGTGTGGTGGCACATGCCTGTAGTCCCAGCAAGCGTAGGCTGAAGCAGGAGGACCACAAGTTCGAGTTCCCTTAGGCTACATAGCAAGTTTGAGGCAAGCATGAGCTACATAGTGAGACCCTCTCTCAAAAAATAAAACAGGCTGGGGATTTAGCTCAGTAGTTTTGCCACCTGCCTTGCAGGTGCAAGGTCCCGAGATTGATCCCCAGTACCAACCCCCCCCCCAAAAAAAACCTAAAATACCCCCAAAGAACAAAAGAAGCCAACCCCTAACAACAGTTAACTTTGTGCAGTAGACAGCAGAAGGTCTGGGCTGCCTCAGATTTTCTCATTCTTAAAGGATAGTGTTCTTAATAATGAATAATAATGAACTAGAGTCATTTTCTTGTGTTTTTGAGAAATAAGTTTAGTAACTGACATTTTTCCCTCTCTCCCTCAGATTTGGATCATACAGCAGATGTCCAGTGAGTATAGCTGGACTTTATTCCTTTGAAGCTGTAATTAAATAAGGGTGAATCTTTTAATCTGGGTGTTCCTAGTTTTTTTTTGGTACCAGGGATCTAACTTGGGTCCTTGCAGTTGAGGGGCAAGCAGCAGAACCACTGAACTAAATCCCCAGCCCTGGGTGTCCCTAGTTTTAATTTTTAATTTTTCTACTTTCATTGTGGTTCCTTCTGTTTTGAACATGAAAATGATAGTTTAAAAGCTTCTAGTTTCCAGTCAGGTGTGGTGGTACACGCCTATGGTCCCGGTACTCTGGGAGGCTGAGGCAGGAGACAGGAGGATCAAAAGTTGGAGGCTTGGACCGGGGATTTAGCTCAGTGGTTCCGCCGCCTGCCTCGAAAGCGGAAGGACCCGAGTTCGATCCCTGGTACCAAAAAACAAACAAACAAAAAAAAAACGTTGTAGGCTAGCCTGGGCGATATAGCGAGACGCTCTCTCAAGTAAAATAATTTGAAAAGGGGTGGGCATATAGCTCAGTGTGAAGGCCCCAAATTCAATCCTCACTACCACAAAAAGAAAAAAAATAGTCTTTAGTTTTGTATTTATCAAGCTGATTTTATTTGAACTTGGCTGTCAAGTTTTCTCTCTTGCTGTGGATTATGTTACACAAAGCACACGTGTGTTTTTTCAGGTTACATGCGTGGGGAGAGACGCTGGAGGAGGCGTTTGAGCAGTGTGCCATGGCCATGTTTGCATACATGACAGACACTGGGACTGTGGAGCCCCTCCAGACAGTAGAAGTAGAAGCCCAAGGTAACTGGTTTATTCACAGGGAAAAAGTCATCATACAGATAGATGTTCAGTGTTTTGCATCTTGAGTGTATTTTTACAATAAGAACAAAATTGATTATGAACCTATTTTTCCTTTTTCAAATAGCCTAAGAAATTCTCTGTACTTTGAAACATGGTTTTAGAGACCAGGGTTATTAAACAGCATACTATTATGGCCCTTTTTAATCCTGTGTAGGAGATGACTTACAGTCTCTTCTGTTTCACTTTTTGGATGAATGGCTTTATAAGTTCAGTGCTGATGAATTCTTCATACCCCGGGTAAGCAACAGTTTTTCTTTTTCACTAAGCAAATTGGCTCTTAATTCATATTTTAAAGTCGAGGCCAGGTGGGGTGGTACATATCTGTAATCCCAGCATTCTGGAGCCTGAGGCAGGAGGATTGCCACAAGTTTGAGGCCAGCCCGGACTACACAGTGAGACCCTATCTTAAAAAACAAACAAATAAAGTTGAGGGCAACCCATTTGGGACCCTTCTTGTCTCTCAGGAGCTATTCCTATTTCCCAATAAATTTCCCTACTCTTAACCTTCTTTGGAAAAAAAAGAAAAAGTTGAACAAATGATTTAAAACAGAACATGTAATGGCAAATCAATCCATACAGATATGTAGTTGATAATGATTTGCATAAATTGTAGGCACTTCTTGGTTAACCTGAGATTGCCTGTGTATATACATTTTATACTTTGATCTGTGACTCTGTCACTAATTAGGATTATATGATAAGTATTGACCTACCAGCTGGGTGTGGTGGCACATGCTCTTTATTGAAGCACTTGGGAGGCTGAGGCAGAAGGATCACAAGTTTGAGTCCAGCCTGGACTACACAGCAACATAGCAAGACCCTGTCTCAAAGAGGAGGGGTCTGGAAATGCATCTATAGTCTTCATCTCTTTTTTTTTTGGTGGTACTGGGTATCAAACCCTTGGGTGCTGTGCTGTTGAGCTACATTCCATTCCAGCTCTTTTTTTTTTTTGGTACTGGGAATCAAACTCAGGACCTTGCACTTGCCAGGCAGGCACAGTGCCACTGAGCTAAATCCCTGGCCCCATTCCAACCCTTTCTGTTTTTCATTTTGAGACAGAGTCCTGCAAGTTGCCCAGGCAGGACTTGAACTTGGATTCCTCTTGCTCCACCTCTCCTGAGATTGCAGACGTGTATACCACCATCCCCTGCTTCATCCTCTTTTTACATCTCCCCATGTTTGAGCTGTGGTTATGGCCATCCTTTGGTTCCATTTGAAGTTTGGCAGCTCTGTCACATTGGCCTAAGTTCAACAATTCTACTCTTAGTTTTCCTTAATGCAAGAAAAGGAAAAGCCAGATGGAGATTGCTTGTTGCTGTCAGCCTCCAGAGGGAACCACACCTCCCCAACATTGTTATCTAACACACCTGGCCTTCCCTGCTTCCTTCATTCCTCCAGTCTTTTATCATCTCCACTACATATCTGCCAAGTCACTCATCCAAGAGCCCACATGCTTGCTGTATCACACAAAAATAGGCTGATGGCATGTGTGCTAGTGCACACCTGTAATCCCAGCACTCGGGAGGCTGAGGCAGGAGGAACACTTAATTTGAGGCCAGCCTGGACTCCATAGTGAATTGAAGACCAGCCTGAACTACAGTGAGACCGTGTCTCAGGAAAAAAAAAAAAAAAAGGCTGAGCATGATTGAAATTTTGTATCCTCCCCCTCTACCACATATCTTTTGATTCCCACCTCCTGCCCTGTGGGTACTGAACCCAGTCCCTTTTACATGCTCTACCCCTAGCCCCTTGTCTCATCTTTTTAGATTGTATATTTTTCTCCCTCTCTTTTTTTTTCTTCTAATTTGAAACAGTCCATGCATGCCTATAATCCCAGCACTAAGGAAGCTGAGGCTGGAGTATCACTATGTGTTCCAGGCCAGCCTGGACAACATAGTGAGTTCAAAGCCAGCCTAGAATATACAGCAAGATCCTGTCTCAAAAAAAGAAACAGGGGAAAAAAAAAAAAGAAACAGAAACAGGGCTGGGAATTTAGCTCAGTGCACCGCGCCTGCTTCACAAGTGCAACGTCCTAAGTTCCATCCTCAGTACCTCCCCCAAAAAGAAAAAAAGAAACAGGTTCTGGCTATGTAGTTTTATCTTTCTTGTTTTGGTACCAAGGATCGAACTCGAGACCTTGTGCTTGCAAGGCAGGCGGCGGAACCACTGAGCTAAGTCCCCGGCCCGATGGCTATGTAATACAAGGTGGTCTTGAACTTGAACTTGCTATATAACCATATAACTTTATAACTTGAACTCATCCTGCCTCAGCCTCCCTAGAACTGGGATTACAGGTGTGTGCCATCACATCAGGCTATATTGTATATTTTTTCATGAATATTTCCCTTGAATATGTAAGAAATAAACCCTATTTCCTTGGAATATATTTAGCTTGTTCTGTTTTAAATTTAAATTTTCTTTGCTTCAGAGAAATTGCATGCTGTTTTCTAGGAAAAGTGTCAACCTAGCTGTGTTTTAGTAAATGGTTTAATCTGAGTATTTTTAAAAATTAAAACTTCTTTTTCCACTTTAGGAAGTGAAAGTACTTAGTATTGATCAAAGAAATTTCAAATTACGTTCCATTGGGTAAGTTAAAACTCTTCAAGTAGCAAATCATGAAAGATTTTAAAGTTGTATTCCTCACTGAATTCCGTGCAGAAAGACAGTTAACATTTGTGACGTCAGAAGACCGCTTGCATTTGGCTGGGCCTTGCAGATTGAGCTTTGTGAGCCGCCTAGGTGTGAGGGTCACCTGGGCTTTGGAGGACTCAACCCTTGTCAAGACAAGGGTGGCTCTGGTTGTTAAACCCAATTCTCACAGTTGTAGTGGTGGATGCCTGTAAACCCAGCTCTCTGGGAGGCTGAGGCAGCAGGATTGAAAGTTCCAGCCCGGGACAACTTAGCAACTTAGCAAGACTCAGTCTCAAAATAAAAAATAAAAACATGTCTGGGCTGTAGCTTAGTGAGAGCCCTGGGTTCAATCCCCAATACCACAGACACGCATGCACGCACGCACGCACACCCCCACCCCCACCCCCACCCCCGATTTGCAATTTGTTGATTTTAAGGACGAAGAGGAAGAAATATAGCTATGTAATTGCTAAATGGGATAGCTCAAAGCCGTTTGATAGGAAAAACTGACTCATCTTTTCTCATAGATTCTCATTTCTAGCCCTGCTCAAACCAATTACTTCTATACAAATTATACCTTTCCTTTCCTTCCAGAGTTAAAAACCCTTGAGTAGGTCACTTTGACTAAACTTGTCTCATCACTTAATTAAATATTTCAGGTTTTATTTATTTACTTATTTATTGGTTTTTTGAGACAGTAATGTATGTATTTTGCTATGTGGTTGCCTTGAACTCGCTGTGTAGCCTAGGCTGGCCTTTAACTCACAGTGATCCTCCTGCTTCAGCCTTCTGAGGTGTGTGTTACCATACCTGGCTTTTTTATTTTAAGACAGCGTCTCACTAGGTTGCTAAATTACCCAGGTTGAGCTAGAACCTGTAATTCTGTTCTTTCTACTATCTGTGTTTTGATGGTCATTTGATATATTAGTGTCAAAGAGAGTGAGAAGAACACTGTCCAAGTTCTAGAAGAGAACAAGTTCCAGGGCATTCTGTATGTAGGCTGTGGACATTTTGGGAAAAGCTATAAAATGGAAACCAACCTCAAACCTTGTTGGCCGAATGTAGTATTTTGTGTTGTGCTACTCAACCTGCTTTCTTCATGGGAGAGCTTACTGAATTGGTTCTATACCTTGGGCACAGTGAATGTTTTGAACTTGGTCCCTATTATTATGAAATCATACTCATTCAGCAGTGTTTACGGAAAATCCACTAGAAGATCATCATATTGGGCACTTGTTCTTGAGAGAGCAGCTGTCCACCTTGGGAGCAACTGATGGGTGTTGAACCTAAGTCTCCCTCTTACCAGTGTCTGCTGACAAACCAGAGTGCAATCTTCCAGGTCTCCTATGCTTCCCATCTCTTTTTGCAACACATTCCTAAGGTTGTTTTAAAATACACAGAGAAGGGCCGGGGATTTAGCTCAGTGGTGCCTCCACCTGCCTCCCAAACACAAGGACCCAAGTTTGATCCCTGGTACCAAAAAAAAAAATACACGGAGAAAAAATATAACATTTTGGAAATGTTAATCCTCTTTTAATTTCTCTTCTTAAGGTGGGGAGAAGAATTTTCACTTTCCAAGCATCCTCAGGTATGTTTTAAAGTCTAGCCCTTGAAGACATTTTATGCTTCCTTACCATAGAGCCTGGGTATGTGACAGTGCACTTCAACTAGTTCTAATAATTAGTGTGAAGTCATAAGTTTTTTCCTAAACTTCTCTGACTTGACTAGATGTGTTAAAATGCTGTGATTTCCCGAGTCTGGTTTGGTGAGTAGGAGTCAGCACTGGGCTTTAGGGGCAGGTTTGTTACAGATTATTGTGCGACTGAAAAGTCCCTTTGCCTTTTTGAGCCTTGGTAAAGATGTTGGACAAGACATTTTCTAAAGTACCGTCTACCTCCTGTGCTTCTCTAGATTCTGTATTTGCCAAACTATATGGCCTTACTCTGTAATAATTTAAATCTGTTAGAACAGAGGTTGGCAAGGTTTTTCTGTAAAAGGCCAAACAGTAAATGTTTTAAGATTTGTAAGCCAAGAGCATTGGAAAAACAATTACTTTAGCAGCCATAGACAATACATAAATTAGTATGGTTGTGTTTTACTAGAACTTTATTCAAGGACATTGAAATTTGAATTTCATGTTATTTTCAACTGTCACAACATATTATTATTATTATTTTCTGAAACAGGGTCTTGCTATGTAGTCCACACTGGTTATCCTGCCTCAGCCTCTTGAGTGATGGGATTACAGGTGTGCACCACTGTGCCTGGCTCTCCCAATACAATAATCTTATTTTTCCAGTACTGAGGATTGAACTCAGGGTCTTTGCACTGAGCTACATCCCCAGACCTTTATTATTTTTTATTTGAGAAGGAATCTTGCTAAGCTCTTAGTTGTCCAAGCTGGGCTCAGACTCACAATCCTCCTTACGCAGCCTCCGAGAGTGCTCGGATTACAGGTGTGTACCACCAATGCCTGGCTACTTCTTAGTTTTTGAATAAATGATGAAGTAAAAGTCTGGTACCTAGAATATTTCCTAGCTTAAAAGTATCTTCCTGGCTTTAATATTGTCCTTATCTTCTCTCCACTAATCTATATCCCATCCATTCATTATTTCATGTATACATTCAACAAATACTTAGCTAGACATTATTTTAGGCATATTAGATAGAGATAACAGGACAAATTGAGATCATTGCTCTCATTGAACTTAAAATCTAGTGAGAGGGAAAAAAAAAAATTAGAGGAGAGAGCCAAACATGTAAACAAGTAAATGTTATAATTTCAGCTGGTAAATGCAGTAGTGCCATCAGGGCAAGGTAAGAATGGCTGGAGCTGGGTACAGTGGCACACACACCTGTAATCCCAAAGCTCTGGGAGGCTAATGTAGGAGAATCACAGATTGAAGCCTAACCTGGGAATTTAGTGAGACCCTGTCTCACAAAGCGGGGCTGGGGCAGGGGGTGGTTGTGGCAGAGGATATAGCTCAGTGGGAAGGTGCTGGGTTCAATCTCCAGTGCTGTAAAAGTGAATGAATGGATAAATACATAAAATAAAAATTGGGATTGGAAAAGAGTGTTCAAAAAAGACGTCTGTGGAAGTGACTTTTGGTGGTGGCCTGGTGGCCACAGAGATGAAAATGAGCAGAAATAGTGGAGAAGACCTTTTTTTTTTTTCTTTTTTTTGGTACCAGGGATCGAACTCGGGACCTTGCACTTGCAGAGCCAGGCGGTGGAACCACTGAGCTAAATCCCCGGGCAGGAGAAGAACTTTGCAGACAGAAGTACATGTGAAACTCTGACAGGAGATAGATTATGTTCAGGGAACATCCAGGAGAGTGCAGCTGGAGCTGAGGTTGTGGGGGAGAATAGTGGAGTCAGGGTTGTACAGATGGGGCTGCAGCCTGCTACGGCAGGGCATGCAGATCTTACTCTTGTGTGAAGGGAGGCCATAGCAGTACTTTAATCATAGGAGTTATTTGAGGTGATTGTTTTCTTTTTTTGAGAGAGGGTTTTGTTATATAGCCCAGCCTGGACTAGGACTCACAATCCTCCTGCCTTAGCTTTCCAAGTGCTGGGGTTATGCTAGGCTTGATTTGAGGGTTTTTGGTTTTTTTTGGTACTGGGGATCAAACTCCGGTCTTTGCGCTTGCGTAGCAGGCAATGAAACCACTGAGCTAAATCCTTGGCCCTGATTTGAGTTTTAAATGACAAAGAATAGATCATGAAGAGATGAGAATGGAAGCAGAAAAACCATTAAGGAAGCTTTTACCATAGTGTGTTGAGGCAGGCACATGTTTGTAATCCCATCTCATCTGTAATCCCAGCACTTGGGAGGTTGAGGCAAGAACATCATTGCTGAGAGTTCAAGGCAAGCTTGGGGTACATAGTGAGTTCAAGGGTAGCCTGACCTACATAGCAGGACCTTGTCTCAAATGAAGGAATGAATATATGCATGCAGTTGAGAGATGGATGAGTTGGACTAGGGTTACAGTGGTAGAGATACTAAGAAGCAATTAGGCTTAAGATTTACTTTGAAGTTAGATTCTACTGTTACTGTAAGGAATTAAGGGTATCACCTAGGTGTGGACCTGAGTGAGTAGTGTTCCCATACTCTGTAGGGAGCTTGGGGGAAGGGGAAGCTTTTGAACATGTTATGTTGAGCTGCTTTTTAGACATTTAGCTCGCGATGTTAGATAATAGGCACTTGGCTACCGGAAGACTTCCACAGTAGTATCTGAAATATACATTTGGGAGTCATCAATGAATAGATATGTATAGCCCCAGAACTATACAAGTTTGCCAAGCATTGAGTCTAGGTAAGAGAGAGTAGTTGAGTAATAGAGCCAGCCATTGAGGTGCATGCCTGTAATCTGACACTTGGGAGGCTAAGATAAAAGACTTGTGAGTTCCAGGCCAGCATGGGCCAGATAGCAAGTTCAAGGCCAACCTGAGCTATACAGTGTTTCCTTGTCTCAAAAAATGAGAGAGGGGCAGTGGTTTCGCCACCTGCTGCGCAAGTGCAAGGACTCAAGTTGGATCCCTGGTACCAAAAAAAAAAAAAAAAAAATGAGAGGGGGGGCCGGGGATTTAGCTCAGTGGTGCCACCGCCTGCCTTGCAAGTGTAGGGTCCTGAGTTCAATCCTCAGTACCAAAACAAAACAAAACAACAAACAAAAAAATGAGAGAGGGATGCTAGAGGAGAAAGTGTGAAGTAATTGTCTGAGAGGAGAGAAAGAGAAATGCCATTCAGCATGTGTGAGACCATAGGCAGAAAGTGGAATTTGATTTAGGTTGTGATTTTGCCAGGTGATTATGGCAGAGGGGAAAAAGCAAAGGCAGTGCCTCACCCTAAGGTCTAGCACACAGGATTATTATAGAGCTAGAAGGAACCTAAGAGAACATCTAATCCTGTGGTTCTAAATTGGTGCCAGGGTGGGGAGTGTCACATATGGGAATCATGTGAAAAGCTTTGACTTGGGAGCTATGTTTTACTCTCCAGCTAAAGGTATAAAGAGAAGAATCCTAAGAGGGTGAAGTGAATGTTGGGAGCTGAGAAGAGAATAGGCTGGATTCCTCGGAGCCAGGTCAGAGCGGGAGGGAGTGTGTAGGGAGTAAGAGGAGTGAGCACTGAGCCACAATAGAAAAGCCTGTGTTCTGTGATGCAGCCCACTTCATAAATGAAACGCTGATGCCCAGATGAGTCAGACAGCTTCTTTGCCTGGGCAAAACTAAAGCCTGGTTAGAGTTTTGTTTCCTAACTCCAGTTCAGCGCTCTTTCTACTTTACACAAGCTTCCTCCATTTTTATGGAATCAGAATATAATACTGGATTAATTTGATAACTAATTGATTCATGTGGGCTTTTAGTTGTTTTTCTTTTTCCGGTACTGGGGATCGAACTCAGGACCTTGCAAGGCAGGTGTGGTGCCACTGAGCTAAATCCCTGGCCTGTGGGTTTTTAGTTTTTCACAATAGTAAAATTGTAATTTCTGCCAGTTGTTGCTAGAGTTCATGGTTCTGATTGTAATGTCTTCTCATGTGTTTTTTTCTCTTAACCTTTAGGGAACAGAAGTCAAAGCAATAACATATTCAGCAATGCAAGTCTATAATGAAGAGAAACCAGAAGTTTTTGTGATCATTGATATTTAAGACACTAAAAAAAAAAGAAAGACCTATGAAGAGCTGCCTTTTCCTTCCTCTTGAGAAGATAAAATAATTTCATTTCTCTAGTGTCTTTTGACAAATGGAAATGTATAGAACAGAAGTTTTTAACTTAAAGCGTGACTTTCAGAAGTAGAAAATCAACTGGGCATGGTGGCATATGCCTGTAATCCCAGCTACCCTGGGGGCTGAGGAAAGAGGATTGAAAGTTTGAGGCCAACCTTGGCAACTTAGCATGACCTTGTCTCAAAATAAAAAATCAAAAGAGGCCTGGGCGGGCTGGGTGTGGTGATACACACCTGTAATTCTACCATCTGGGAGACTGAGAAAGGAGTTTGTGAGTTTGAGGCCGGCCTGGACTACATAGCAAGAGTGTCTCAAAATAAGTAAGATAGCCTCAGTGATAGAGCGTCCCTGGTTTCCAACCACAGTACTGGGGAAGGAAAAACAAAAGGAAAATCAGTGAATTAGCTTTGGTCTGTGTTCCTTACCTATTCAGACTTTAAAGAAATCTGTGTAGTTTTTTTGTTTTTTGTTTCGTTAGGTACTGGGGATCTAACTCTACCTTGTGGTTGCCAGGCAGGCGCTGGCACCACTGAGCTACATCCCTGGCCCTGTGTAGTTTTCTTTTTTTTTTTTTTTCCTGTGTAGTTTTCTTTTAAAGCCTCTATATGTACACAGGTAGAGAAGAAAAGGAGAATTTTAAAAGATTCATTGTTTTTAAACTACTTTAAGTTAGTCTTTTTTGGGGCGGGGGAGTTGGTACTAGGGATCGAACTCAGAACCTTGTGCTTGTGAGGCAGGTGGCAGAACCACTGAGCAAAATCCCTGGCCCCCAGTTACTCATTTTAAGGAGACAGGCCAAAAAAAACAATTTTAAAATTATCTGAACTTTTTTATTTTTTTGCAGTACCAGGTATCAAACTCAGGACCTTGCGCTTTCGAGGCAGGCACAGTGCCACTGAGCTAAATCCCTGGCCCAAAAATTATCTGAACTTTTAAAAGTAGATGCCTCAGGGCTGGGGATTTAGCTCAGTGGTTCCAGCGCCTGCCTCGAAAGCCTGCCTCGAAAGCGCAAGGTCCCAAGTTCAATCCCCAGTACCAAAAAAGAAAAAAAAAAAAGTAGATGCCTTAATGAAACCTCTTTAGGTTTGATTTGCAGCTTGAGTCTTGATTGAGGTATTCTTTCTTGTGATCAAGAGTTTACAAAGTTGGGATTTATTCACAAGGCCCTAAAACAGCCACTGGGTGGTGCCAAATATCATTATAGTTTGCTGAATTTGAACTAGGTAAAAGGGAGGGATTAACTCTGCTTTCTAAGTGCTGAGGGTTTGTTTTTGTTTTTGTTTTTTGTACCAGAGATTGAACTGAGGACCTTGTGCTTGCGAGGTAGGCGCAATGCCACTGAGCTAAATCCCCAGCCCGTCTCTCTTGAGTATTTAACAGGAACCCCAGGAATGCTATTTGCCTGGAAATAGATGGCCAGTGGCCAGATGTTCAAAGGAACGGGCACAATATAGAGCCTTATGTCAATGGGCTCTGTGGGGTTGCTTTAGGTCTGAGACCTAACAAATGAATATAAATGTTGAAATTAGAAATGTTTTATGTTGAGATCTCAAACTGGCAATACATGCTATTTTTGAGACCCCTTTGACTCTGAGGCCTGCTAATATCTACCTATCTGTCTAATAGTAGGGGTGGCAAACCCACTGCCAAGCCCAGGATTCCTTAGCCCAGACAATCCCACCACCTGTGGGCTGAGGTCTGGTTGATCATTAACTCAGTTTTGGTTTTGCAAGATGGCTCAAGAAGTCGTTGTCATTTCATCCAGTCTCTAGCAGGTGATTATTTCTACTTGGGACAGTCTTAATTTTGAGAGGCTCTGTTGGAATCAACGTAGGTTAAGACTAGAGACTTGGGCCCTTTTGGTAGTTGAATGTCCCTGTAACTCTTGGTTTCCTGAGTCTTGAAAGGGGATGAAGTAGATTGTGTAAATTTAGGGCTAATAATCTGTGTATCACCAGCTTTTAGATAGACAACACCTTGAGTGATTAGTAAGCCTGTATGCTGAACAGGGATCTGACCCCAAATTTTAAGGTAATAGAAGCTTTATCCTGCTTTTAGTTATCTGTTGGGCATCTGTAGGCCCAACAAAAAAGTCCACTGTTTTGTTGGTGGTGTTTTTTGTTTTAAGCAAAAACAGCTTTTAAGTCCCTGACTGCCCCAGAAGAAAAGTCCTGGTTTTAATGAGTAACAGGTTAAAGGTCCAGGAGTTTGTCCTCTATCTCGATGGCCTCTTATTTCCTTAACTATATGTATTATATGATTTCTTACTACCTTTCTAGTTCTAAGATTCTTTGATTCAGTACCTGCTTTTGGACAAGGTCTTTCTATGCATTCCAGGCTGGTCTCAAACTCCTGGGCTCAGGCGACCCTCCCTTGTCAGCCTCTGGAGCAGCTGGTATAACCTGCATGGGAAAATGGAGCTTTAAAAGTTAAATTGTTTTCTCCTTTAGTGACAAGTGGCATCTCTGAACTCAGATCTAGGGCATAAACTGCCACCCCCAGCTGTCCTTGGCCTAGAGGAACAGTGTGCAGATGCTGGCACCAGGAGATCAAAGTCCAGTTTCATTTCCATAAACAAGGGAAAGGTTGGGTTCAGGAAGGGATGAAAAAAGCCTGGATGTGTCTGTTGCATTGCATTTCCTCCCTCTGCTTTTCTTTGCTGCAAGGACTAACACTTGTACATGGTGATGGTGATTTGGGTGATGGGACCCTCTGCACATGCCACTGAGCCTCCCAGTGATGCATTCCAAATAGCCCACTAGCTGAGAGAGACATGGCATTTGTTACTCAGTCTTTGGTGTCCAAATTGCACCATCAGGGTCTTTTACCTGGACAAATCTGACAGCCATTGTCATGAATGTGGAATGTATTATTATGGCATGGCTTTTAAAGAAGGTAATAAGCCAGGTGTGGTGGAACGTGGCTAATCCCAGCACACTGGGAGACTGTAGCAGGAGGATCACAAATTTGATCCCCACCTGGGCAGCTCAGTGACTTAGGAAAACCCTGTCTGAGGAAGAGTGGGGGCTGGGGATGTAGCTCAGTGCCAAGGCTCTGGGTTTACTCCAAAATACAGCAAAGGGAAGGAAAAAAAACAAACAGGAATGGTATGGTGATCTTTTATCTTTAAGTGGTTATGGATTCCCATAGCCATTTTTGACAGTTCTCTTTCCACCTGGGGTTTGGTGGAGTACGTTCCAAGAAAACAGTTTTACCCTCTGCACGGTGGACGAAGTGCCATTATCAACTACATTGGACTACCCCTCCTGATTTTTAAAATGCTGGCGGATTTCAATTTTGCCCAGTAAAAAGTCCTGAATGAGCTCAATAAGACTAGCTTTGCCCCAAGAGATTTTTGAGACAGAATTAATTAATTTTGGTACTGGGGATTGAACTCAGGACCTTGTGCTTGCGAGGCAGGTGCCGTTGAGACAAGAATTTAGACTCTTTACCTAAGAAACTCAGAATTGGAAAAGAGACCTGCCCAAAGCAGACATTATCAAAATCTGGTAACTAGTATTTTACTAGTGATATTTTCTAACCATATCTGGGTGTCTGTTCATATAAAAATTTTTCTAAATGCTTTTCTGTGGAATATATTACCCATTTGTCCTCATGATTTTATATATGCCTGTAGTACATTAATTTTACATTGTTATCACTAAATAATCAGTGACATGTCGTAAAAGGCGGATGTAAGGCTTCCTTTTATGTTCCTTTTTTTTTTTTTTTTAAAGTACTGGGAATTGAACTCAAGACCTTCTGCTTGCTAGGTAGGCACAGCACCACTGAGCCACATCCCTGGTCCTCCTCTTTTTTTTTTTTTTTTTTGGTACTGAAGATTGAATGCAGGGCTGAGGATATAGCTCAGAGGCAAGTGCAGGGTCCTGAGTTCTGCTCCTGGTATCAAAAAAATAATAAAAAAAGATTGAACCCAGGGCCTTCATACTGAGCTACAATTCCAGCCTTTTTTCTTTGAGACAGTGTCTTACTAAGTTGCTAAGTTGCCCATCTTCCTGCCTCAGCCTCCCATCATGCTGGGGTTGCAGATGTGTACCGTCATGCCCAGCTTGGTGTTTTGTTTTGTTTTTTTGGTACCAGGGATCGAAGTCGGGTCCTTGTGCTTGCAAGGCAAGCGATGGAACCACTGAGCTAAATCCCCAGCCCTTGGTGTTTTGTTTTGTAACAGGGTCTCACCGTGTAGTTCAAACCACCGTTGAAGTTCAAGCTGGCCTTGAACTGTCAGGGATCCTCCTGCCCAGCCTTCCAGGTGCTGGAATTATAGGTGTGTGCCACCACACCTGGCTTGGTGGTTTCTTTTGACACAGGTAATAACACTTTGAGGTGAGCTATTAATTTTATATTTACAAAGAAACAGCAAACGTTTGAGTGATCTTTGAAGGTGCAGCTCAGAAAAAAAGGCTACTGGCTGGGACTATTCCATTGTCTCTAATTAACAGTTCAAATGCTAATTTGTTTAGCAAAATATTTTAGTTGTGGAATTATCCAGTTTCCTAGAACAAGAAAGTAGAGAATAGTGGATTTCTGTTTCTCTCCACTACCAAATAACTGTACAGCCATGTGTGTAAAATTACCCTAAGTAAAAATATATACTTTTTCGTGTGTGCATATGTGTTATCTAGGCTGGCCTCAAACTCACAGTGATCCTCCTGCCTCAGCCTCCCAAATGCTGAGATTTCAGGGATATGTCACCCCATGTGGCTTTATGTTTGAGACAGGCTCTTGTTATGTAGTTCAGGCTGGCCTTGAACTCATGTAGTCCAGGCTGTAGGGATCTTCCTGCCTCAGCCTTTTTTTTTTTTTTTAATGGAAGGCAACAAGGCAGAGACTGTTCACCTGGGTGCACGTCAACTGAGGGCGAGCAACCTGTCAGTGGTGAACAAGGAACAGACGGATTTTTACAGGGGATTGGGAAGGGGTCTGGCACATAC